ACTATCCCCAGGATTCAAAGATCTCCCACCAGGTCCCTCCCACAACACGTGGGAATTATGGGAGCTACAATTCAAGATGAGGTTTGGGTGAAGACACAACCAAACCATATCACCCAGATACAGAGATAGGCAGATATTGATGGGCAGGCATGTGCTGCAAAGTTAAGCAGACTCAAATGCAGGTTCTGCCACCTGCTCCCTGAGTGATTTTAAACAAATTGCTTCACTTCTCAGACCCTCAGTTTTGTCACTTGCAAAATGTAGTCAATAATAGCTCTCTTGGAGCAGCTTTGAGGATTAAAGAAAACAAAATATGTAGCATGACTAAACAGAGACAAATGATTTTAGCATGAATGAGAAAGTGGTGCTGTCTTTATGGTTTAAAAAGTCGATGTGTTTAAAGGGTTGTTCAAGCTCTGATGATCATTTTTCATAAACTGAATAAGTCCCTTCTGTTATTTCAGGAATTCCAAAATGGGCAGTGGCCTTAAATTTGCAGTGCAAGACAGTGTACCCCTGCACATTTTATTCTAGTTTAAAAGCTTTATAACAAGCCATTCACCAGGAATAGGATAGAAATGTATTCACTATGAGGCTGGGTGAAGTGGTTCACACTTGTAATCCCAGCACTTTGGGAGGCCAAGGCAGGAGGATCACTTGAGCCCAGGAGTTTGAAACTAGCCCTGGCAACATGGAGAAACCCTTTTTTTATTTTTTTTTTTTTTTTTAATTAGCCAGGCATGGTGGTGTGCGCCTGTATTCCCAGCTACACAGAAGGCTGAGGTGGGAGGATTGCTTGAGCCTGGGAACTTGAGGCTGTAGTGAGTCATGATCATGCCACGGCACTCTAGCCTAGGCAACAGAGTGAGACCCTGTCCCTAAAAAACATATAACAAAATAAAAATAAAATAAAATAAATGGAATCACTATGGCTCAAAGTCACTGTATTTAGGTATTTGGATACCTGGTCCAATATCACGTGCTCAGAGATGCCCTCCCTAATCCCTGTTGCTCTATGACTCCCCACACTCTTCCACTCGTCCTCAGAGAACTTGGCCCTTCCTGAGCAAGCTGTAAACTTGCTTGTTTATGTATTTATTGTCTGTTTCCTCAAAGTATAAGTAAGATGAAGTCAGGGACAATCTGTCACATTCACGGCCATACACCTAGCACTTAGAACATTTCCTGACACATCATAAACACACAAAAAATCTGTTGAATAAGTAAGTAAATATGGCTTGGACTTTTTAAAGCTCAGATGGGCAAATAACATCCATTGCTGTGAAGGAAAGATTTATCTATTGAAGAAAAGAAATATTGAGAACATAAAGTCACTCCTCAGATACTGTTATTATTGGAAGCCTTTTTTTATACAAGTGTTAGAAAACACTGGCTTGAGTCTGGGCACAATGGCTCACACCTATAATCCCAGCACCATGGGAGGCCAAGACAAGTGGATCACCTGAGGTCAGGAGTTCTAGACCAGCCTGGCCAACATGGTGAAACCTTGTCTTCACTAAAAACAAAAATTAGTCAGGCGTGGTGGTGGGCACTTGTAATCCCATCTATTTGGGAGTGTGAGGTAGGAGAATAGATTGAACCCGGGAGGCGGAGGCTGCAGTGAGCCGAGATTATGAGATCATGCCACTGCACTCCAGCCTGGGTGACAAAGTAAGACTCTGTCACAAAAAAAAAAAAAAAAAAAAAGAAGGAAAAGAAAAAAGAAAACACTGGCTTGGGTTGAGCTACATACAGAGAATCTAAGATAACACTGAGAGGTTCTGTAGCATTACTGTAGAGAGTCTGCCACAAACCAAGAAGTTTCCATGAAAGGAGAGGGACACACATCTATTTCTGTGGCATAATTGCTGAATAGTCAGTAATTATTTGCTAACTTTTGGAATATACAAACAGAGTACAATGGAAACAAATACATCTTCCTTGTCTAACTGTTTAACCAACAGGCCAACTGGATAATGTACAGTATCTGGGTTAAGTTGTCAGTTTATTTAGGAAGATAAAATCCTCATTGGGAACAATATAAATAAATAGGCATAACTAAAGAACACAAAATTGAATTAGAAGCAGTAGTACCACTGACACCTTGACTTTGTGACAAGAATGGGCACTTAATTAGATATGAGCAGAGCCCAGAACCATATGAAGTGAAAGATCTGAGAATGATGCCAACCCTAAAACAACCTCTCCATAAAACACATTACAGATGTACAATAATTAAAGCAGTAAGCTATTGGAGTCAAAATAGGCTGATTCGCTGTTGGAACAGTTTCAATAAGAATTTAGTCCAGAATAAAGAGGCCTTTCAAATTCACTCACTAGCCAGTAAGTTCCAGGGAGCAGGACTCATGTCTATTTTGTTCAACATTGTTTTCCGGAATTTAGTGCCTATATCGTAGTAGCCACTCAATAATTAAGTGTAGAAGTAATTACATAATTAGTGATGTGGAAAAATGAATAAAATGAATGAAAGTTTAAAAACGAAAATTCAATAGGCACAGTGCAGTGCCATATATATTCTATAGTTAGTATGTACACACAGGTATATAACAGGCACATAGATTCCCACAAAACATAGATATACCCAACTATGCTGATTTAGTATCCAGGGATGGTACTTTTATCAGTGATTTTCTTGTTCTAGTTGCTTATCCATTATGTCCCAACTTATATGGAATAAATGAATGTTAGTTACATAAAAAATACAAGAAATAGGCCAGGCATGGTGGCTCATGTCTGTAATCCCAGCACCTTGGGAGGCCAAGGTGGGCAGATCGCTTGAGGTCAGGAGTTTGAGACCAGCCTGGCCAACGTGGTGTAAACCCATCTCCCCTAAAAATACAAAAATTAGCCAGGTGACATGGTGTGCACCTGTAATCCCAGCTACTCGGGAGGCTGAGGTAGGAGAATCGCTTGAACCTAGGAGGCAGAGGTTGCTGTGAGCCGAGATCATGCCACTGCACTCCAGCCTAAGTGACAGAGTGAGACCCTGTTTAAAAATACATATATATATGAAATATATAATATATTGCTATATGTAATAATATAAGAAAAAATATTTTATCAAGTAACATTTGCCAAAAAGCCACTAAGAAAGGCTGTGAAGAAATGTCTTTAGAGAACATTTCATACATGGAGGCTTCACTGTGACATGAATCACATAATCTGAAGGTCCGCTGATATAAATTAGCCAGCTATTACTGGGCACTTGAGTGAACACTAGTTTTGAGCCAATTATTCCACAATCAAGGCATTTTTAGCTGCACAGAGCTGAGAGCAGTGTGTTAATCAGTCCCATACAGCCTGAAGAGGGCGAGAGTCTAAGGAGAGTGTGAGCTTCAGTGAGGTCTATCCTCAAAACCAAAAGAGAACAGTTGTCTGCTGGGAAGGTAGAAATGGAAAATGAGGCTACAAAAATGAACATGTAAAAAACTATTATTAGGATTATCTTCTGTTTGGGGAAAGCGGAAAGAACATGGTAGTGGAAGGAACAGTTCCAAAAGATGATAAGGCCTCCAGTGGGAAGTCAGAACATCTCCACAGTCCACAGGACTGGGCAACATTAACATTGGCAGGTGACAATTAGCAGAAAATCAAAATACTGAGGGATGGAGTAGAACAGGTGCCCAGCTCCAGGCAGTGGGTGATGAGCCATTTGACAGAGACAGAAGCAGAGACACGGCAAGAAACGGAGTGAGGTGGAAGTGCTGTGGGGTCTTCAGAGAAACTCCAACCTTGGCAGGGACTTCACTGCACTTCCTGCAAGGCAGCGGCATCGCCAGCCGAGGACGGCAGCTGAGTGCCAGCAAAGGGATTGATATGGTTTGGCTCTGTGTCCTCACCCAAATCTCACCTTGAATTGTAATAATCCTCACGTGTCAAGGGCAGGGCCAGGTGGAGATCATTGAATCACGGCGGCAGTTTCCCCCATACTGTTCTCATGATAGTGAGTGAGTTCTCACAAGATCTGATGGTTTTATAAGCATCTGGCATTTCCCCTACTGACACTTCTCTTGCCTGCTGCTACGCAAGCCATGGCTTCCACCTTCCGCCATGCCATGATTGTGAAGATTCCCCAGCCATGTGGAACTGTGAGTCCACTAAACCTCTTTTTCTTTATAAGTTACCCAGTCTTGGGTATGTCTTTATTAGCAGCCTGAGAACAGACTAATACAGGGGTCCTGAGGAAAGGGGGAGTGAGTGGGAGGGAAGAAAAGCATGTCTCATCCCAGGACATTAGGATATATTGTGCTCAGTTTTAAAACACTGAAAAGCAAGACAATTATAACAGGCTTCTAGAAGCAGGTAATCCTGGAGGCAAAGCTGGGAGGCCAGGATGGGTACGAATGAGGAAAGGAGGAAAGAGGACATCTCAAGCCAGGAAAGGATTATGTGTAGGAACAAAGGCAGGAGACAGGAAGCCTGGCCATCTGACTAGAGTGAAATTTACACAAGAGTGTACTTGAGCAAGCCTCTGATTCGAGCCCATATCAAGAGAGGTTATCATCTGTCTCTCCATTACAGCGAATATTCTGGAAAATCTGAATGAACTTTTAATAATAATTTAATAATATTTATTTAATATTTAACATTAATAATGCTAATAATTTAATAACATAATACAATCTTTTAAACACTTCATAATTTAACAATCATGAAATTGTCCATCCTTTTTTCCATAGCGCTAATTTCTTATGCATAGAATATGCACAGACACACTCACAAAATGACACTTGGATACACACAGAGACACACGCACATACACTTAGACATAGACAGACAAAGCACACACAGTCACACAGACACTCACACGCCCGCTCCCAAACAGAAATACTAGTAGTGTTATACAGGCATACAATTGCATACTTTCATACACAGGCTCACTGATACTGATACCCTTTCACGCACAGATACACACACACACACACACACATGCACACTAACACCTTCACAACAAAATGTAAGATAGGTTCCCTCCTTACCTGGGCTTCAAGTATGTTAACCTTTTCTTTGAGATTTTTAATTCTTTTGTCTTGTTCTTTTAAATTATTTTTTAATCCTTCCATCTAATAATTAGAAAACACAATAGGAAAAACCTTGTCAGACCACAGGAAATAGTTACTTAAGTCAGAAATTGTATGGATTTCTGAAGTCAAAAGACGTTAGCAGACTCAGCAGGCAACAGAAAGTAGCAGGCCAAATTGACACCTGGGGCTGAAAGCCCTCAGCTGGTGCCGTGGTTCACTTTAATCTTTGGATAACCTGTTTAAACCAAGTTCAGCAGGAGTGCATCCTATGAAAGCAGCAACTGGCCGCCCTTCTGCGTCTCAGCAACTTGATGTTCTCATCCTGCAGATGCAGCTGCTGGTGGACAGGATGCAAGGCCACTGCCTGGTGTGCAGAGGCTCCCTGCGGTAGAGATTTGTCAAGCAGCAGCATAATAAGGCGAACCTGCTTTGCCAAGAGGCAATGTGGAGTCAGGAGGTGGGGTGATGAGATTCAAAGCGGTGAAAGAAGAGAGGGGACACATGGATTCTAAGACCAACTTTGGCACGACTAGCTGTCATTAAACTGCTCCATAAAAAGAGGGTGTGGGGTGCGCCCAAAGTCCCTCCTGGCTCTCAAATTCCACTACTCAATTATCTGGCCTTTTAGTGAGGTCATAATCAAGCAAGCACAAATGCTGTATCTGTGTCACGAAGGCTCTGGAGTTATTTGGGAGGACTTCTATTTGGTAGTAAAGTAATTGAATAGAAGTCTGATTTTAAATTTTAAAACAGACCCCCAAAACCAGATCAATGCATATCTTGAAGTAGATTTTAAATACACACTCCACCATCTAGCTGGCTGCTACCACAGTTGCCTCTACTTTGCCACCTGTCAGGCTGCTCCCAGAGAAGAAGGGCCAGGCTACACCGGTACCGTAAATCATCTCCTAAATAAATTATGAGGTTATGAAAATAGATCATTTCATGCTCAAGGAAGGACTGAATCTCCTGACCTGTGAAATTGTCTAAAGACCAGTGTACATTATTTGGCTCAGAATACTTTTAGAAAATCACCGAAACATCTAAAAAATAGTTACATATAATTTTCCAAGCTATCTTCATTGACAGTATTACAGGTGTTGGTGTTACAAACAAGAGAGGTCATTGGAAACAGAGCCATATTGCATGAGAAACAAAAAAGGATATGTCAGTAGGAAGAGAAATCTCATTGCTTCGAAAGTCCAGTCAAGCCACTCATATTTGGGCTCCACACCATAAACATATTGTTTACCAGATAAATACACTTGATTAAACTGACCTTCTGGATGACACTGCGCAGGTTCTGATGTTGGGAGTGAATCACGAACTGCAGATGAGAGATCTGCTCCTGGAGAATGGAAATCTCCCTCTGAAGATCCTGGCAACTGGGAATACAAAGGAAAAAAGAGCAAGAGAAAATGATTGGCTCACACGTTCCATAGCTTGCCCTTACTGCTAACCCTCCTCCACACCACATTACTACTGGGGATCAGGTGGGTAAGACCCCAGGGCTCCATTATGCCACACAGGACACACTGAAGATAAATAGCTATGAAGTGGGCTCTGATTTGTTTGGATTTGACTTGAATGAGAATATCAATTCATGTCAAAAGTTCCTTTCTGACCATCTGTGACTCTTCTAGCAGGTAGTGGAATCAAGTTGTATTCAGTATGATAAAGCACTTATATGCTAAATTGCCTTGCCTGAGCACCCACAGACCTGGCACCCGTCAAAATTCACAGACAATTGCATGGCAATAGCAGAGTCAGAACATGGGAGCAGAAAGGGAGATTTTATCTATTAATATATTTATAAGAAACCAATTTCTAATGATTTGGGCTTAGCATATGTTGTGGCTTGTCTGTGATTGTCTTTTTTTATTTTTTATTTTTTGGCTTCCTACTTTTGGTAATTCTACTATTTTTTTCCCCCCATAGGGAAAGGGGGGAAAAAAAGAGAAGAAAGGAAGAAATTAAATTCCAGCAAATATTTTTGAGTCCACATCAACCATTATGGGGGAAAAAAGTCAATTTTGAACTTAGATTATTTATACTTTCCCAAAGCTCCATTCAGGTAACTGGAATTGGTTATACTGGTTTGGCTATTTCTCTACTTGCTACTATTATTAGAGTTATGAAGCCACATACATTGTGACAACACTACCAAGCTTAGAAGCATTGTGACCTCAGAGAAGTCACTTGGCCTTTGCTCTTATCCAGTGTCATCCCAATTCTGTTTCCTTTATTCATTTGTTGTTTTTGTTGTTGGTGGTGGTGGTTTGTTTTTTTTTTCAGACAGAGTCTTACTCTGTCACCCAGGCTGGAGTGTAGTGAGGTGATCTTGGCTCACCACAACCACCACCTCTGGGCTCTAGCGATTCTCACAGCTGGGACAACAACCATGTGCCACCACACCTGGCTAATTTTTGTATTTTTAGTAGAGACAGAGTTTCACCATTTTGGCCAGGCTGGTCTTCAACTCCTGACCTCAGGTGATCCACCTGCCTCAGCCTCTACGTGTATCACAAAGATGGTGGAAATTCATAAGATACTATATAGCATGTTCTAATTAAAAAAAGGAGTTATCAGTTTCCATTTTGTTTCATATAACAGACTAAAACATTGTTTCAGAGAAATGCACATCTAAACCACTATGAGATATCATCTCACAGCAGTCATAATGGCTATTATTAAAAAGTAAAAAAATAACAGATGTTGGCCAGTATGCAGAGAAAAGAGAATGCTTTTACACGGTTCGTGGGAATGTAAATTAGTTCAGCCACTTTGGAAAGCAGTTTGGACATTTCTCAAAGGGGTAAAAAGAGAACTACCAGTCAACCCAGCAATCCCATTACTGGGTATATACCCAAAGGAAACCCAATCATTCTACCAAAAAGATACGTATACTCGTATGTCCGTCACAGCAGTATTCATGAGAGCAAAGACATATAAACAACCTAGGTGCCTATCAACAGTGGATTCAATACAGAAAATGTGTTACATATACACCCTGGAATACTTTGCAGCCATAAAAAAGAATGAAATTGTGTCTTTTGCAGCAACGTGGATGCAACTGAAGGTCATCATCCTAAGTGAATTAAGGCATAGAAAGAAAATCAAATACTGCACAATTCCACTTATAAGTGGGAGCTAAACACTGGGTAAACACAAACTTAAAGAAGGAAATAATAGATGCTGTGGACAACTAGAGGCGGAAAGAATGGAGGAGAAAGGGTTGAAAAACTGCCTACTGAATACTATGCCTGCTACCTAGGTGACAGATTTAACAGTAGCCCAAACCTCAGCATCAGGCAATATACCCATGTAACAAACTTGCACATGTACCCCCGCAGGTAAAGTAAAAGTTGAAATTAAAACAAAAAAAGGAAGCTTTATGTTAATTGGTCCTGGAAAGAAAAGCAAAAGAAATTTACAATTTATAATTATAAAATAAATTATTGTAAACTTCCAGGACTCTTGAAAGAGACAGGAGGGGAAGATAGGAGGATGTTTGGGAGTACAGGCACAAGAAATCCACAGGGAACAGGATGCCTAGGACATTGGTGAGGGGAGGGAAGCAAATGAGGGGCCTGAGAGAAGGATGCAGAGAACAAAAAGAGAAGGTACAAAATGATGGGGGAACAAGAACATGCATCAAGTGTGCTACTCTGTTTTAGATGTTAATCAGAAACATGTCTGATTATCATACCTACATAACTAAATCTCACTGCAAAAGTCCATTTCCCTCCTCTTAATTAATACTACAAGCAACTATCAAATTAAGAAAAGCCATAAAAGAAATGTAGACTGTCAACACAGGCTGAAGGAAGATCACTAGTTCAGCTGTGCCGATATTTTATCTGCTTTTTATAACACGATCACTTAAAGGACCCCGTACCTGGCAGAAAGCCTTATCTTGGTCTTTCTCTCTTGGAGAGGGGCAGTAGGGAATCCAAACAAAGTAAATGAGCAAGAAGTCCTTTGTTTTTCTTTCCACGGTCCATGGCAGAAAGTGTTTGAAAAGAAATAAGCTGATGCCTGATTCAGATGAAAATGCTTTGTGCTCATGTAATTTGAACTGGCAATGGCAGCAATACTGAGCTCTCACAGTATTTCCAAAATTCAAGTTCAGAGAATGGCTGCATCAGCACCAGCCTGTATTCACATCAGATTTCAGTTGTCCCTAGATTTGAGGTTCAGAGGCTTCTTGAGGCACGGGAGACTGACGAAATTTCAGGACCCCAGCGGGTGAGGCTCCAAACCCTAAGGATGTTGCGGGGAGATGGAAGAGCTTTCCAAGGAGAGACCAGATTTTGGATGTCTGCAAACATTCCTAACAGACAGTGAGAAGGCTTACTGCCCACAGAGAATCTTCAGGGGCAGGATGTCTTCAGAAGTCCAGGGAGATTGGGAGCGTGCGAGGGGCAGGGCTGAGAAATCTGCAGATGTTGCTCAGAACCCTTGCAGGGTAGAATTGCTGCGAACATGCAGAGGATGGAGTAACTGAGGAGCCTCAGAAGAAAACCTCAGTTACTAGGAAAAGATGACTGGAGAATATAAAGATCAAAACAGGTCAGGCATGGTGGTTCACGTCTGTAACCCAAGCACTTTGGGAGGCCAAGGCGGGCAGATCACTTGAGGCCAGGAGTTCGAGACCAGCCTGGCCAACATGGCGAAACCCATCTCTATTAAAAATACAAAAATTATGCTGGGTGTGGTGACTCACACCTGTAATCCCAGCACTATGGGAGGCCAAGGTGGGTGGATCACTTGAGGTCAGGAGTTCGAGACCAGCCTGGCCAACATGGTGAGACCCTGTCACTACTAAAAATAGAAAAATTAGCTGGGCGTGGTGGCGTGCACCTGTAATCCCAGCTACTGGGGAGGCTGAGGTACAAGAATCGCTTGAACCCAGGAGGTGGATGTTGCAGTGAGGTGAGATTGCGCCACTGCAATCCAGCCTGGGCGACAGAGCGAGACTCCGTCTAAAAAAATATAAAAAATCAAAACACAGAGGGCAAACAGAAATTGGGTCCATAGCTGGTGCTAAAATTCAAAATTGCTCCAGCAAGGATAGTGAAAGAAGAAAAGATAAAAATAACAGAAAGAGCAGCTATGACCCACTCAATGGTCAGACTCAGGACTTTCCTGGGAAGTAATGAGAAAGAGCTTAAGACACCTTGCAGAGGCAAGCTAGCTGTGAATATGCACGAAATATAAAAATACTGTAAGCTCTTAAAGGTGAGTATTTAAAATGGTTCTCTTTGTGTCCCATGACCTAGAACCTTGGAACCATTGGGAAAAAAAGATGGCTTGAGATACGGGGAACAGATGTTGTTATTTTTCTATCAAAAATACCAAGCTCAGAAAACTTTCCCATGTACCCCTTGAAGATATTACCATAAAGTTCACTGTGGAAAAAAAACACCAAAAACTTGAAACTGGCCTCAAAGTAGAAGAAAAATATTTCTAGAAGCACTCTTGAAAACACAAGACCTCGAGGCTTCACTTATTTCCATTAATACGCTAAAACAGTGACTAAAGAAAATTGCAGAAAATCTCTATTAGGATTGTCCAATAAGTATGAAGCCTAGTCATCCATTTAAGACCTTTAAATGTAAAAATATAACTAAGTAAGCTGCCACTTGATCCTCTTTTGAGCTTTGCTGTTTATCTTTCTGTTAAAGCACTTTTCTTTTCTTTTTTTTTTTTTTTTTTTTTGAGACAAAGTCTCACTCTGTCACCTAGCGGCACAATCTCGGCTCACTGCAACCTCTGCCTCCTGGGTATAAGTGATTCATTCTCCTGCCTCAGTCTCCTGAGTAGCTGGGATTACAGGCTCCCACCACCACGCCCAGCTAATTTTTGTATTTTTAGTGGAGACGAGATTTCACCATGTTGGCCAGACTGGTCTCGAACTCCTGACCTCAAGTGATCTGCCTGCCTCAGGCTCCCAAAGTGCTGGGATTACAGGCGTGAACCACTGCACCCAGCCCAGTCTTAATAAAGAGATACACAAGCAAAACTGGAGGAAGAAAACATAAGGAAGGGTCAAGTCTAAAAAAAGGAGGCAAATGTCCGTATCCGGGATTCCTGCTCTGCTTTCTGATGTCTCAACATAATTTTTGACCATGTTGTCCTCTACAATGCAACTGAATAAAGATATAAAGCAAATGTGGAAATTAAAGCAGAATTGAAAAGCTTTGGCTTCTAAGAAAATGTAGAAGACATGCTTTTCCCCATTCTTTCCACTAAGTATAACTAAAAGCCCTGGATATTGTATATGAAAAAAAAACACAAGAAGACTCTGAACAGTGGAGAGAAGAAGGCAGACTGGCTCCAGAACCTGGGATCCAAGAAATGACACAATGGTGAATCCTCTGGGGTTTCTTTTTATCTCACACATCCCAGACTTGGAGCTGGAAAAAACCAGCAGCCTGGAATGCCAATGGGGGCAAGCAAAAAAAAAAAAAAAAAAAAAAAAAAGCCCCAACAAAAGGAGAAGAGAATCTCTGCCCTACCCTTTTGAGGGAGGGAATTGAGGATTCTCTCTCAATTCATCACTGAAGGAGGGGGAAGAGACAACTATTTCTGGTTCACTTCCTGTTAGATTCCTCAGCATTCAAGAAGAGAAGTCAATCCTATCTTTAACTGCAGACATGTGAAAAGAAATTACTTTGCCTCTAATTAGCAACATGGGATGATCATAGAAGAAGCACCTGACAGGAAGCCCACCCTCAATTTCTGTACTCCCCAACGTCTCCCAAAGGGTTGGTGAAAAGAAAGTGAGTTCATGGAGAATTGTCTCTCCCTCCATTCCTCACGATACTCGAGAATCTATCTTTGGGTCAACTTATACCACAGAGGGTGGCATTACTGGATTTTCTCACAGTGCCCTCTGATCCTGTTATACTGGCTTTTATTGGATTCTGTTGGCATCATGCTATTCTGTTTAGATGATGTTTTGAGGTAAGCCTTTGTGTTTATTACAAGGGGTAAGTTGAAAACATTATTCAGGGTTCTTTTTATGACCATACTCTGGCCTTATGGCTAGATTAGAAATAACTGAATGATTGCAAACACCTGATTGGTTTTAATCATGTGGAATTGTGACTCACAAAACTAATCATCATTTCCTGTTTGGGTTGGCTGCTGGAAAATTTAAAACTGAGTCAGTGGTCTCCTGTGAGCAAGTCTGTAGCATCCATGGGCCTAATTTTGTAAACAAACTTTATGGTATACCTATTATTTTATCTCCTTGTCCTCATCATCTAATTTTTTTCTAATTTAAGCAATCATATTATATTTTGCATAGTTTTTATAAATAACCTTAGATTTTCTTAAAAACTTCACAAAGGGCATGAATAGCCTGAGCATGGCCATATTTACACAGCCCAAGAATATAACACGTTTCAGTCTTTATAAAGTACATTTATTATCAGGGATTCATATAGTAAGATGTTTATGAGAATGAAAATTCTAGAAGAAACCAAAAGAGCTAGGTGCTGAGACAAAGAAAGTAAAAGCAGCAATGAAAGCCATGTTGCAGGCTCCAAGAGGCTACTTCTGGGTACACTATAGATTTCAGAGGCATTGGAAATATGAATAGCCCTACATAGAAATCCCACAGGATAGAGAAGATAGTGAGATTAGTGGCATCCTAGAGCTTCTTGGAAGCTATAAAAGAATCTTACTACCATCTGTGGGGACTCATATTGCCTTCTATTTAGGATCCAGTGTTTCTCTGGACTTCCATGAGTGTGAATATCACTGACTATGGGCCCCCCATGGAATAGAGAATAACTAGGGACCACAACCACAAGAACAGAAGAGGTCAGATTCCCATTCCCAGGCCAGACTAAGGGAAAGAATCAACTTGGATGTAGGTGTAGCCCTGTTTGCATTTCAACAAAATTCATGAATGTGTCTTACTATTTTCCATTAAAATTCTTCTTTATTATTATATTCGTTGGTGGTACCAAAGGCATGCCTTGAGAGAACACTCCCACCCCAAACTACCACAGACAAATGTACAATTTAGGTAGCAACCATATGCTTTGACATGCAACCTCAACTTCACGGTCTTTTCTCCTCTAAGGAGTTTCCATTCCTAGTAAATATGGAAGGGCCAACACTGTTTATTTTTACAATCCCTATTAGTCTGTTCTCATGCTGCTTTGAAAACATACCCAAGACTCGGTAATTTATAAAGGAAAGAGGTTTAGTTGATTCACAGTTCTGCGGGGCTGGGGAGGCCTCAGGAAACTTACAGTCATGTTGGAAGGAGAAGTAAACATGTCCTTCTTCCCATGGCGGATCAAAACCATGCAGCAAGAAGTGCCAAGCAAAAAGAAGAAAAGCCCCTTATAAAGCCATCAGAACTTGTGAGAACTCATGAGGACAGCAGCATTGGGCTAACTGCCCCCATGATTCAATTACCTCCCACCAGGTTTCTCCCATGACACGTAGGGATTATAGGTACTACAATTCAAGATTCTCATCTTTTTGGGTAGGGACACAGCCAAACCGTATCAATCCCAAATATGTTTCCCCAAAAGATAACTCTTAAAAAGGCTTGCATATTTGTTTGTGATGTGGCAGGGCAGAGGGAAAAGTCGGAAAATGGTCTTTTGCTAATCGTTACTCAGAGGAATGAAGAACCCAGTTTGAGAGATCTTCAGAGGTTTCCAGAAATAAAAGAAAGATGGTCAAAATCTTTTACAGTAAAACGAGCACATGCTTTGCTATGTATGAGAATGTAGGAGCGAAAACTCCCAGCTCTATAACTTCTGAGAGATTGAGCAATCTTGCACAACTTAATTAGAATTTCAGCTCTTTCCTGAAAAGGTGAATGCAAGGATTAAAATAAAGAAGGTACCTGAGGTTATTCTGAAAACTGCAAAGCATTTTACCTATGTCAATTACCAGTAATGGTAATAGAAATATGGAGTCAACCTTATTTTTAAGAAGACAAATCTTTTTAACTTCTCTGTCTTCTTTTTATGACCCTATCTATCTAATCTTAACCTAACAGAAACCCTCTTTTTTGTGGTAGCTTAATCAAGTCTCTATTACTTCAACCAAAAGAGTCTGATTCCTACTGATTTCATTTTCTTGTCACTTCACAAACTGAATGCCTCTACATAAAGCTCAGACAAAGTAATAAGTAATCACAAATATGTGTGATACCCACAATCTATAAAAATTGCATAAGCCTGGATGTTGAAAAACCTTTCTAGAAACACCAAACATCCACTTTCCCCAAGAAATTTCTAAAACTTCCTTAGGAGCTTTTAAAGAATTCTTTATAATAACTGTTTATATAGAATAGAAGTGAAAGAATAGATCAGGTTGGTTTTTAAAAGAGCTACATTGTTGGCTCAAAGACGGACAATAGCCCTATCACCAATTTTTTAAAAACACATTTTTTAAAGGAAAAAAAAATCAAACTTGGACGGCCTGAACTTTTAATGGAAGACACGTACAAATCAGTAGTTCTGCTACAAGGAAAAGCTCTGCCTATTTAAGAAAAATATTAACTGAAGATTTACTTAGATTGAAGTTATGAATATCCAAATGTAATTCCAAGACCTAAGGATACTTTCTGCAGTATTACCTTCGATCTCTACAGAAATGTGCAGTGTTATAAAACTATCTTAGAAGTCCCCTGTTTTGGGCTACATGTTTGTCACAGGGAAGAAGCTAGGAAAATTAATAACTTATTGGAATCTTGTATGTTTCATGTGTGTGTGTGTGTGTGTGTGTGTGTGTGTAATTGCCAGGATCAGCCCATTTCTGGGCTTTGGCATATGTGGTCCAAAATGCAGGAATACAAGCCAGGCAGAAGGTACAACAGATGAGGACAGGTGGGAAGAAAGATAAAAAAGGAAAGGAAGCAGCACGGAGCCTGTAGGGGGGAAATAGAAAGACTGAGAAAAAGGGATGTCTGAGTACATATCATTGAATAAATGACATATCATTGAATTCTGTCCATAACAGTGCCTAATATCCTAGCGAACAATAGTTCTAGGATGACAAACTAAGATCTTGAAATTGATTTGACTTTGAACAGTATCATTATATCAGAACATACAATGATTGTGTTGGACTAGAATTTTTAAAAAATAAAGAAAAATCTCAGAAAATGTCTTATTATATGATTTATTACATGATAATACAGATACTTTTTCTAATAGCAGCTGAGTAGCACAGCGATTATGGCGATATCCACAAACCCACCCCCAGCATAATAAGGACTGTGACTGCTTGTAAACTGTGAGTATTTATAAGTCCAAAGAACTATGGATATTGTCCCTAGTATTTCCTTCACCCTACAGAATTAAGGAGTATCAGGAAACTATCTTAGAATTCCACTTGTGGGCTGGCCAGTGCAATGTAAGCTGTAAAAGAAACTCATTAACTAAGACAGAAGCATCAGAGAATAAAGACCTCTCAAGCGTCCTCCTTACCATAAACGGTAAACCAGGAGGTGCCAGGCTTACTCACTCATTCACTCTTCAGAAAGACTAACCTTCCCGTGGGGTTCCCTGTACCCCCAATGGACTCTGCCCCCTGCTCCCAACTGCTCTGTGATTCCTCTCAGTTTGAGGAAGGGGAGGCACATAACTACATGACTGTTAATCCCAGGAATTCAACCTTCCTCCTGCACTGTCAGTCATCCTATTTCTTAGGGGGACAGAAGGCCTTCTGTTCCCTGGCTGGCATACCAGTGGACAGGAAAGAAATCAGGAAGCTTCGCAAACCTTTTTCCACATGTAGCACTGGATTTGAGTTGCAGTAGCTTGTTTTCCAAAGACAGTTTTCTTTCTAGTAGTGTTCTCTTTTCCTAGGAGAAAATGAGATACAAATGTTGCTGAACTACATGTGTATGTTTGGTAAGGCCTTCCTCTTGTCATACTAGAACTATGGCTTGAGCTAAAGAGTTAATTTCCCATGTGCTGTTACTCTTATCTTCAAGGAAACCTAGCTGAGTATTCTCCTGTGTGCTTTACACATAGTTCAACTATAGGCCAAAAATAATTGTCTTCACTCTCTCACCTGCCTGGAGGACTTCTTTTGCTCATCTTCCAAGGCATTGCCCATAGCCTGTTCAGTGCAACCTCTCCCACTCACCTCTCCCCATCCTACCACACATAAGCAGCCAGCTCATCCCTTGCTAGACCCTGGCTCTCCCACCCTTACATCTGCTTCCCCTGCATTAGACTGAGTTGTTGGTATCCAAGGACACTAGATACCTCTAGGTACTACGTGTCATCTGTCAGAAGGTAGTAAAACAATAAACATATTTTTGATGAAGGATCAAGGCCACAAAGGATACAAATGCTTTCCAATTAGGATACAGGAGAAACTCAGATTGCAATTTTATGATGTTGGGAAAGAATATCTTTTAAAAAGATGCCTTAATTTGATTATTAAGCCAAAGCCTTTCCATTCAAAAGGAAAACAGACAAAACCATGAAAAACGAAGCTGAGATGACTGTGTTCATTTTATATTTGATGGCACTCAGCTGAAAAAAGGAATTTGGTGCTTTGGCCTGACGGTTTAGGTTGCCAAGTTGGAAAGAATCAAGGGAGATTGAAAAGAGGCAGGAATTGGTATTGGCAACTTGGGTGGAATTGACTGGAAGACGTGTGCTGAAACTATCTATGATGCTGTTTAAAATTACTTCCTGCTGCAGCATCTCAGTGAGTAGTACAAAGCAAGGCAGTGCTGTCTAGCAGAAACATCACAAAGATTGTACATAGGGACTTAACCTGGTTTCTAAATTTTGGCCAAGGTTTTCAACTCTCGGGCCTTACCAATGTTAAGAAAAATTAACCCAAACTTGGAAATAAAAACAATATACAGCATGCAGTTTTAATGTCATATTGGGTCATCGTTTAATTATCTGACCCAAGATTTATTTAATTCTCTCAGAGAATTTTCCTCTGTTCGCTTTTATTATTTATTATTTGATTAGAGCCCTGGGTCTGTGAAGTTGCATGTAAATTTGTAGATTTCTGTCTGGTAGAAGACATAATCCCAAAGGTTATGGTTTAATTGCCTTAAAGAATATTAACTGTTTTTTTTAAATTTAATCTAGTAATCCTATACTATTTTCAATTTTTCTCCAAAATGCCTACAAATGACTAGTTTCTGAAAATACTTCATTTAAACCAGCTTTCTCATCTTACTGTTTCCCTCATTAATTAATGAGTTACAACATTTGACATGTATTCATTCTATGTTCATTTGACTCATATTTGTATCTTCTGAGCATTCCTAAAATGGGGATAATATTACCTATATTGAAATGTTGGGATGATAGAGATAATATATGTAAAAGAGATACAGGCTTCCTGGCACATATTTGGATCTCAATATATAATAATTGGAAGGCACTGGTTACTTCATAATTTATGTGTTCTGTATGCTTTTTCAAATTTTTCTTATAGTATTCTTGCCACATAAAAATAGCCCTGGAGTTGCCCTAGCTGTGTTCAAATTATTTCTGAGGGATCACAGATCGATCTTTCTTTCTTTCTTTCTTTCTTTCTTTCTTTCTTTCTTTCTTTCTTTCTTTCTCTCTCTCTCTCTCTCTCTCTCTCCCTCTCTCTCTCTCTCTCTCTCTCTCTCCCCCCCCTTTCTTTTTTTTTTTTTCCCAGGCTGGAGTGCAGTGGTGCGATCCTGGCTCACTGCAACCTCTGCCTCCCAGGTTCAAGTGATTCTCCTGCCTCAGCCTCCCGAGTAGCTGGGATTAAAGACATGCGCCACCACGTCTGGCTAATTTTGTATTTTTAGTAGAGATGGGGTTTCTCCATGTTGGTCAGTCTAGTCTCGAACTCCCGACCTCAGGTGATCCACCCGCCTTGGCCTGCCAAAGTACTGGGATTACAGGCACGAGCCACTGCGCCCGGCCCACAGATACATCTGACAAGCGTATGATGAGACTTGGATTGTCAAAAAACACACACAGATAATGTATTTTGATTTTGTAGGGTGAGGGAAAATGGTGCCTAACAAATGTTTAATAGTCTTACTCTTGATTAATGGATTTTCATAAACAGGGATCAAGGGAACCAGACAACCAGACAAGTAAATGCTCTTCCTTGGCCAGGCTCTGCCATCTAGCTTGGGTTCTTTTTGCCTCCTCTTTGACGACACAGAAAATCTCACCATACCAGATAGCACTTTTCAGGCAATGTCTTCAGGAAAGGGAAAGGGAGTTCATAGCACCACACAGTGGGCAACCCACTATTCCCAGAGCCATACCTCCAGACAGCTCCAGGTTTCCCTCACCAGGCTGATCGGAGAAGGCACCAATTTCAATCATGGCCAAATGCTAACATCTAAATGTTTTGGAACCAACTCTATCATTTTTGTCCAGCATGAGAGAAGACGGGGGCATAACGGAAAGGGTTGTGATGTAGAAAGTGGAGGACTGTGGAACAGTTTCGGGTTCATGCTGTCCTCATTTATAAAATGATCATGAGGAACTAGGTGGTCTCAAAAGTGCCTTTGAGCTCTAAAATTTCAGTGGAGCTAAATCAATGACACTAGAAATTAATATGATGTAACAGAATTGCACTGCTAGCAAATGGAACATATGCCATATTAAAATGCTCTTACTGGGCATTTTTGCTAGCTTATCACTGTGCTTATGGAATTCATTCTCACTGCATTCCTGATTAAAGTGGGACAGATGGTGAAGGTTTTAAGTAATGTGTTCATTACCAGACCTCATACCACTAATGGCTATTTACTGGAGCGGTGGATTGTTCAAGTGAGTAGCAAGTAGATTTTTCTCCAGGGGGCACCCATGACCAGGGCAATATTTATCAACCGTTGTGAGGATGTTCATTTTTAATTTTTACTTTCTTTCTGAATTTGTGTCTTTTTCCTATTAATACAAAAGGCCCAGTACACCCTCCCCTTATTCTGGCCCACACTCCCTCTCTGAGACACCCTACCTCACAGCCTGTCTCCTCAGTCTCTCTTTAAACCAAGATGTTGCCCAACTTTGTTCCTTATAGTTTTATTGATTTGCTTGTTTCACAAATATAAAATATTTTAAAACCAATTTGCTTTTTTTTGTTTTGTTTTGTTTTTGAGACAGAGTCCTGCTCTATCACCCAGGCTAAAGTATAGTGGCGTCATCTCGGCTCACTGCAACCTCCACTTCCCAGGTTCAAGTGATTCTCATACTTCAGCCTCCAGAGTAGCTGGGACTGCAAGCACGTGCTACCATGCCCAGTTAATTTTTGTGTTCTCTTAGGAGAGACTGGGTTTCACCACGTTGGCCAGGCTGGTCTCGAACTCCTGGCCTTAAGTGATCCTCCTGCCTCAGCCTCCCCAAATGCTGGAATTATAGGCATGAGCCACCACACCTGACCTAAACCATCTTTTACTTTAAATAAAACTGCCCATTGCCCCTCCACATCATCCCCACTTACCTCCACCCTCCAGAGATTCCAGTAGGCTGCACTTTAGAAAGTCACTGAATTATTCTGGAAGGTTGCTGCATGGCCTTACTAAGTCATGCGCATCCTGTCTACTTCCTTTGTCCAAGATCTCCTGGAGACAGCCCACTATTAAGAGTTATTATCAGGGCAGGAACTAGGCCATCACTTCCCAAGAATGTCCTGCCAGGATCTGAGTCACTGAACCTTATTCTAGGGCATACTCCTCTGCCTTTGACTATGCTTTCAGCCTCCCTAAAGCACTCATAGAGGAATTCAGAAAGGGAGATTTAGGAAGTTCCTTGAGCCTCACACAATCCAGATATACTACATTGTCATATCCACAAAAAGAGACGGGTTCATTCACAAATATATATTCAGCCCCTAGTTCTGTTACACATGGTGGTGTTCAAATATTTGTTTAGTAAACAGTCAAGTAAATATACCCCAGAACTCTGAGATGAACTAACATCTAGTATACATTTCCTAGGATCACTAGGAAATAGAAATTATCTTCTACTGTTCTTTTTTTTTTTTTTCTGAGATGGAGTCTCGCTATGTCACCAGGCTGGAGTGCAGTGGCACAATCTCGGTTCACTGCAACCTCCCTCCTCCTGAGTTCAAGTGATTCTCCTGTCTCAGCCTCCCAAGTAGCTGGGACTACAGGCCCCGGCCACCACGCCCAGCTAATTTTTGTATTTTTAGTAGAGACAGGATTTCACCATGTTGGTCAGGATCGTCTCGATCTCTTGACCTCATGATCCACCCACCTCGGCCTCCCAAAGTGCTGGGATTATAGACATAAGCCACCGTGCCCAGCCTGTTCTTTTGTTAATTTGGGGGCACTAAACCTGACCCAATATTACTGGGTTTGAGATGGCGTGAGCTCTACACTAAACTTAAATTTCAAGCTGGTTAATCAATCTGTTTGGTTAAGCAATTCTATTCGTTTCCCAGAATTGTCTTTCTTTCCTTAATGCAAACATTCTTTGTGCTATCTTAGTTTTATTAAGCTGTTTATTATAGGATCAAGTATTCTGCCACTACCAGGTACACATCCAAATATTACAGTTTTTCCAAAACAGCATAATTATAAACTGTCATGCCTGGATAAACTAATTGCTTAAGGATATTCTAGCCCAGTGATTCTGCTAAAGTATAACACTCAGTGACCTACCACATAATACACATGTGGCTGAATACTGTTATCTTAGAGCCACTTGATAGTGGGCATATTTAATTTTTGTGATTTCCTCATAGGTCCTTCACCAAGACTACGAATTCAACCAAGTCACAATGTCATAAAACTTTACATTCTTGGGAAATATTTTTAAACAAATCAAAGTTCCTTTGATAAGAAACCTAAATATTGAAATGTGATGTTTTTGAAATGATATTTACGAAATGGCATAAACCCAGGCAGACTCATAAAACAAATTAAAGCTAAAAATAACAGAGGCAAATACAATAAATATAAAAAATGTATTGGGCAATATTTACTAGTATCCAAAGCCTATATTTTTCTCTATCCCCAATTCAGTTTCAGAGATGCCAGTTTTCTCTTTGTTTTGCTATTAAAAAATAATATTCCTTGATTTGTCCAAGTTCTAAATTCTAAGGCATACATACACAAATTTACGTGTTCACCTTTTGTGTATATTTGGAATGCTAGCTAGTTAAATGAACATGGCATGAAATATTTTCAAATTTTTATTCTATTATTACTCTTCTCTAAATGTGCCTTCTTAAAGTTTCAATTTCTATAGAATGGCTTTTCTTAATGTAAACTGTATCCCTCCTAGTGCAGCCATAGGTTTTTACAAACACAAAGTAGACTTGGGTGGTCAAAAATGGATACTGCACTGACTCTAATACATAAAAATGCTGTGATTACAGGGACCTGCTATATTAATACTCCTAGTAGATGGACTTTGTGCTCTTTTCCATTAGTTGCATTCACAGCCTCACCTGGTTCCCCTTTCTAAGTCATGTATTTCCTAGAAAGTGACAAATGATGATATGACTACAGTATTTGCAGAAAGGTAAATCAATCACTACAGTATAGATCATATGAAATGTTTAAGGGAAAATTAATATTAAATACTTCCTAAGGGCAAATACTGTAAAGAATACTTTCACTTAACATTATCTTATTTAATTTAATACCCTATTTATTTTGGTATTATTTTATTTCATTCTCATCCTAACCCTGTCAGTAAGAAAATCCTCTAATTCTCCAGGGCTCTACCTTTTCCATTCTCTGTACAAGGTTCTCCAATTCTGTAATTTGACTGTGTTTTTCTTCAAGTTTTTCAGCAACTTGATTCAGATTTTCAACATGTTGTTTCAATTTCTGTTCTTTTTCAAGCTTGTTAACCTATGGTCAGAGAAACAGTTGTGTTGTGAAAACTCTGTTTTTATTAAACCTATTCACATATTACCTCTTTCTACAATTTTCTAATTAGCCAAAAAAATTCAGAATTTATACTTGCTTAGAATTGCTCTTTTTGATTTCAGTGTTTCCTTCAAAATAACCCTGATAGACTACAACAACATTAAATCAAGAATTAATATTATAATAAACATAAATATCCTTCCTAGAATGCTTCCATTTGTTACCATAAAGCATACTTTCTGAATTGATACAAGAGAGAAAGATGCTAATTTAACAAAAGCAACATTTTTGACTTTGTCTTAACAATTATTATCCAGAACAACAAAAAAAAAAGTACAGGTTCAATTAAAACACGTTTTATTTTTAATCAAAAAGTGTCATAAAATCAGAATAACTCTCCTCAGCGTGTCACCATGCTACTTCACAGGCATAGAGCAGGGGTTGTGCTGAGGGATCATAGGAGAGAAGTCTCCATCTAGCAGGTAATAGGCTACAGTGGGACTGTGTCGACTAACTTGTTACTCTTCCGCATGTGTATTTAACAAAGCTTGACATTTCACAGGGAAAAATAAGTGTCTGGCTTCCTTTGTAAATACCAAGCGGGCCTTTCAGTCAGTTCACTCCAGGCTAGTGCCGAGCCCACATTACAGGGATGCATGCTTCTTGTCCCCACAAGCCCCCCCATAGCATAACACCCTCATCAGCTTCCCGCTTATGTTCTTCATCTGCACCCTGCATGCATGTGAGTATGCAACCATCACTACCACAGCTTGATGCATGAAAGGGTGTCACCTAGGCAGTGAATTTCCTACTGTACTCCCCTGGGGACCTTCCTACAGCCTGAGCTGACAGACACCTGGGTGCCCCAAACTATTATGAGTAAACTTACGTATTAGCTGTTTTATATTTTTAATTTTGGCAAACACACACATACAGGCATACACACACTTTTTTGACTTCTCCAGTTCTAGAATATATTTTTCAGACAGATTTTATTGGCCCTAGTGTATATACTTCAGATTTAAAAACAAATGAACAAAAAAGAACATGTATAAGTGTATGTACATTTTTATTTTTTAAATTTATATATTT